GGGGGGGGGGGGGGGGGGTGCCACCTCTCCATCTCTTACGGTCGTAGCCGCCTTCAGCGCCTGGTAACAGACCAGGCACTGGGTATCGAAGGGCTAAGTTGCTGCATGATTTTGGATTACCATCACCACGAGAAGAAAATGTAGACAGGGCCACTAAGCGACAGCATTTTTAACACCGGCGGAACCACAACGGGACCAGCACGCCTGTCGCCTGTGACAATACCTTCAACTTCTTCAGTAGCAGCGCCGACCGCCTTGGGACCTCGAGCCCGTCGGATTGTCTCTACATGTAGAACCGCACGCACAATGGTGCCGATTTGGTATGTTGTAGTTGACACAGAACAGGCAGCTAGGAACCACAATTGGTACTTGTATTGTTTGGATCGCAACCATTGCGAGAGGTACACCGAAGCTACACCCATTTTTTCAGATGCGCCGAAGCTTGTATCTGCTCCTTTAGGAATTCGGCGGAGGGCATGTTCGTTTTCGGTGATTGTTTTCTGCATTAGTACAATGGCAATAAGCAACGTTTTTGCGACGTGCTGCGGCACGGGTGCTGCCACACAACTACTGGAGCGGAGCGGCTTAGCTGTCGAGGCTCCCGCTCTTCTTCGATCCCTCCCTCCGCCTTCCCTCGCCTGAGGTAGCACCACGTCCGCTCCGCCATCCCCGCATGTCAACAAATTCATCAGTGCTTGCCACTTGGGACTTGTCCGACCGGTGGTTCTTGAGCGAACTTGCAACAGCTTATCAAGGTTCCCACCTCCTCATACCGCCTTTCCCCACCCCTATTTTCTCCTCTTCCGTTGTGTGCGCGGTACTACCACCCTGACTCTCGGTCGAATGGGAGCCAGGGATGGGTTCTCGACGAGCAGAAGGTGGTGACCTTCCGCTGGCTGGCCCTTGTGCTCTCGGTGACGGCGAACGCGGCAAAGAAGTGAGCATCTGTTTTGCGGCGTCTTTGTGTCGTCACTATTCTTGAACTCTACGTATGCGGGTCGTGTTGGTGTTGTTAGTGATGGCGTTGGTGGAGTTGGTGGTGGTGGTTGTACCGCTGCTGCTGGTTTAAATATGCCTGTTTCTCTACTCCCTCACAGCACCTTTGTTTGTTCTTGTGGCGCGTTTTACCCCGTCGGGCGGCAGCATCGTGTGCTTTCGCGACAGAATACGCGACGCAGCTAGGGCGGGGACATGTCCAGGCCGCTATTTGAGCGAGCACAAGCTTCTCAAATCGATCGCCTTTGTGCGAATCTTTTGAGCAGATGGGCCCGCAGATATCTGTCGTATCGGAGCGTGCCGCGACCACCGGCTAGAAATGTAGCAAACCAAAATGCCTCGCGGATCCCGTATGAATGCCTTCGTACACTCCAGAATTGAGGGGTATTCGCCAAAGCGTTGGCTCACATCACCACGCACGTACTGCTTCAGTGTACCTGGTTTTAAACCTAACATAACCGCAAAATCGAAGACAAGGCAATCCATTCCTTTGAATCTTAATCGGCCGCCTTGGCGTTTCTGTTGATCGATTTTGGGTCTCCGAGCTGGCCTCCAACAAGAGCAAACAATCCTGAGCTGCTGCCGTTGCTGGTTCGACTGAGTACTTGCACCTCCGCCGTCGTTGCCGTTTTTCATGTTGCTGCTGTTGCGCGCTCGTGCAGGATGTTGTACGACTTCTGCCAGCGGCAAGGCGAGCGGAAAGTTTCGGCGACATACCTCGTCCTGGGGAGGAACGGCGCCGGCGGCTCCGGGGCCATGGAGGTAAGGTACTCATGTATGGGTTGTTGGACTTCTTTCCCGCCTGAAGTCGTTCACGATGAAAATGAAACCAGCGGCTCATGTATGGGTTGAGCTTCCCCCCCAAAGTTGTTCACGATGAAAATGAAAACAGCGGCTCATGTATGGGTTGAGCTTTTCCCCGAAAGTTGTTCACGATGAAAGAGGAACCAGCTGTGGCAACACAGGAGTAGCGGCGACTTGCGTTCGGAGGTTGCTCGGCAGCACGGACTTTGTTCTCGCGCCCCGCCTTCTGAGTATGTTTCTCTATGACGAGGAAGTCGGTACATCGCGACGCCAGAGCCTGTTGTAGGACGGCGATGGCATGGAAATGACCAAGACGTTGACATGACGATGGCACTGACATATCGATGACATTAAAATGACGATGGCGTTGGAAGCATAAACAATATCACCACCGGCACCAATCAACTGCTGTGTTTCCACACAGGTGAAGCTCGTTTCGGCGGAGGATTTGGACAGCACCCGGAAGGCGCTTGAAACCGTCACTTGCGTACACGTGTACAGCGTTCAGGCCGCGCCCTGCTCTCAGCCCGCCGCCGACATGTCCACCCAGGCAAGGATTGGGTTGCCTACTAGACTACTAGACTGCGTGTATTGTTTTCTTGTGGTACTTTTGTTTTCGATTTGTTGTTTCCAACAGCAGGCAAGCCCTGATGTGTGGGCGACAGCGTCGACAGGTTGTCTCATTAGTGTTCTGCCGTATTCTCCGGAGACGAATAACACATCCGCTGGTCACAAGGGCTGATATCTCTAGGAATCGGCCCACACTAAGAAGAATTTTTTATGTGCGCTCGTGGGCGCAACGGACAGACCTGGAGCTAGTCAAGGCCACCACGATTAAACGACGACCGAAGCACATAGTTTCTTTTTTTTTGTGTTTTTGCTCGCTTTGAGTCGCATGGTGCCAACTGTCGTTGCCCTCCGTCCCGGTTCACACGCTCACGTGCTCCCTCTCTTGGTTGCTCAATGTCTTTCCAGTTGTGGGCGACGGACCTGGAGCACACGAAGGAGATGGTTGAGGAGAGCACGGAAGCGGGGGCCAACCTGCGGACCCACAGGTGCAGACCACCGGTCGCTGTCTCTCTTGGCTCCGGGGAACCGCGAGAGAAGGAAAGGGGGAGTTCACCGAATGAAATTTCAACTCGTTGCTTGTGGAGATGGGTGCCGTAACGGCAATCGATGCACGCGTGTGTACCTGAATATGCCAACCAGCTTGTGCTTTGCTTCGTGTATGGTATTTTTGAATCTGTACATACTTTTTGTTTGTCTTCAGTCGGCTTCTGGAAACGGCCGTCCTGACGCCGACTCTCGCAGGCTCAAGGTCATTTACGATTCCGACCTCAAAGGAGACGATTCTTGCATGATTCCCAAAGGACGGCAACCGATAACAACCGATTGCGTTCGGAAGAACAAACGCTTGTTTTCATGACGCGCCAAGATTTTTCTGCATACAGCTCCCACCCCGTGCGACCCAACTCTCAATGAAACATCAAAAGGTTGAGCGGAGTCCGTTGCCCAGAGAGCGTGGACGTTCCCGTGCCAAAGGTCCCGCCTCCGCCCGAGCGCGTCCAGGAAGAGTCGCCCTTGGCCCCCCGCGGCGGCGGCGCGGCCACCGGCGGGGCGACGGGCGACGGGGGGGG